TCTGCATGCAGCTTTTTGTGCTTCTTATATGTAAGAATTTTTATAGATTTTTAAATAAATGTAAAGATCTTACCTTTAATTCTTGCTGATCATTCATCACCATATGACCATTGGGAGAGAGCACAGTAGCTAAGAAACTTAATTTCTACATCCTACCCATGCTTGTATACTTGAGCCAGTTTTGAATACAGGCTCACTAACCCCTTAAGGACGGCGGGGGTGCTATGCCATCCTTGGGAACCTGGCTCTAAACACCAGCAGACGGCATGGCACGCTTACGTCGTCCTTCCCACTTACTTGCCCGCTGGCGATAGGACCTCACGATCACATGGACGGAATAGCCGTCCATAGCAGTGCCAGCAAGGGGAGTGCCTGGAATGACAGGTAGTCCCCCTGCTGCCTGAAATAAAGTTTTTTAAACAGTGTAAAATAAAATATATACTTATATCACACATATATATACATATATATATACACACACACAAAGTGTATTTTATTATATATATTAATATCAAAATACACATAGAATGATATTAAGTATAATATATATACTTTAAAAATGAAATAAAAAGTTAAAAAATATATATGTGTATATATACACACACACACACACGTGTAATTTCATTCTAACTGTATTTTGAGATATATATATATATATATATATATATATATATATATATATATGTATAGGGTGGGTGCCAACTCCCACTACCCTTAACCCTGCAGCTGTAATTATTGCAGTTTTCATAAACTGCAATAATTACATTGCAGGGTTAACTCCTCCTCTAGTGGCTGTCTACTAGACCATGTTTTCCTGGCACTGAAGTGTCCCTTAAAGGGGTTAAAATGTGAGTAGGATGTAACTACAGATTGTTTTGCCCTATGTGAACTTTTCTCTTATAGAAAAACCTCTGGATACAAATCTTTAACCCCTTAAGGACAGAGCCAAATGTACACGTTGTGAACAAAACAAAATGTAAACAAAACCTGGTATTTGCGCTACATGACTGTCCAACCGTAATTCACCTCTTTCATAGTAAATGCACCCACCCTTATTATATATCATTTTATTCAGGGGAAACAGGGCTTCCATTTAATATCAAATATTTAGCTATGAAACATAATTTAATATGAAAAAAAATGGGAGAAAATAATTATTTTTTTATTTTTTAGTTCTACATGACATTTTAAAGGTCAGTGTCATAATACTGTTTGCTTTTACTGCAATAAAATACACATATTTGTATTCAGTAAAGTCTCACGTGTAAGACAGTACCCCTATGTACAGGTTTTATGGCGTTTTGGGAAGTTACAGGGTCAAATATAGCACGTTACATTTGAAATTGAAATTGCCAGATTGGTTACGTTGCCTTTGAGACTGTATAGTAGCCCGGGAATGAAATTTACACCCATAATGGCATACCATTTGCAATAGTAGACAACCCAAGGTATTGCAAATGGGGTATGTCCAGTCTTTTTAGTAGCCATTTGGTCACAAACACTGGCCAAAGTTAGCGTTAGTATTTGTTTGTGTGTGAAAAATGCAAAAAACGCCAATTTTGGACAGTGTTTGTGACTAAGTGGCTACTAAAAAAGACTGGACATACCCTGTTTGCAATACCTTGGGTTGTCTACTATTGCAAATGGTATGCCATCATAGGGCTAATTTTCATTCTTGGGCTACCATAGGGTCTCAAAGGCAACGTAACCAATCTGGCGAATTTTAATGTGAAAAAAATGAAACGCAAGCCTTATATTTGACGCTGTAAATTTTGAAAACACCATAAAACCTGTACATGAGGGGTACTGTTGTACTCGGGAGACTTCGCTGAACACAAATATTTGTGTTTCAAAACAGTAAAAAGTATCACAGCAATAATATTGTCCGTGTCATGCTGTTTGTGCGTGAAAAATGCAAAAAACGTCACTTTTACTGGCGATATCATCGTTGTAATACATTTTACTGTTTTGAAACACTAATATTTGTGTTTAGCAAAGTCTCCCGAGTAGAACAGTACCCCCCATGTACAGGTTTTATGGTGTCTCGGAAAGTTATAGGGTTAAATATAGTGCTAGCAAATTAAATTCCTTTTACTTTTGGCATGGGTTGTCAGGCAGGTCCTGCTAATTGTAATTAATTAAGATACCTAATTATGTAAAAATATTACATAAATATATATGTAGAATTAATATATGTATATAATACGTATGTGTATATATATGTATATATCTATATAATTTATTAAAAATATTTTTATTTATATATAGGTATATATATATATAGTGATATATACGTATATATATTTATGTATATAGATATATATATTTCGTTCTACGTGTATTTTGATATATATATATATATATATATATATATATATATTAATTTCACAATACAGTTAGAACGAAATAACACACATCTATATATTTAATTATTTAGTAAATTTTTTTTACGTATTTACATTTTTTTATATTATATATATATAACAATAATTATATATATATTTAATCAGTATCAGTCTACGTGTAATTTGATATTAATATATATATATATATATATATAATTATATATATATATAAATAGTAAAATACACCTAGATCACCTATGATCTAAGTATATATTATTATTTTTTTTTACACTTTTAACTTATTTTAATTTTATTTTCAGCCAGCAGGGGGACCACCTGTCATTACAGGCAGCCCCCCTGCTGGCAATACAGAAGCCAGCTATCCCCGGCCATGTGATTGTGGGGTCCTCGCAAGGACCCCACTCTCACACGGCCGGGGGGCTCCCTGGGAGTCCCCCCCACCGCGATCGCCGGCGTGGGACCGCCGGCGACCGGGTAAGTACCGAAAGACCGGAGGGCGTACTATTATGCCCGGCGGCGTTTAGAGTCACCTAAAATAGGGTATAATAGTACGCCCTCCGGTCTGAAGGGGTTAATATTTGCTTTTTGTAACTACTCTTTTATACACTGTGCACACAAGTATTGTCACATTTTATATTTTGTAAGTGCGCTAGCCACTTATTTTTTCGTTTCTATTTTATGTATTGTTTGAAATTATGTGGTTGGTTTCACGGTGGTTTTAGCAGCATTATCTAAATAACCATTTGAGCGACATACTATACAACTATTTTTCTCTTTTATAAAAAACTAATACTGCTTATTGTAATGGTTGTGCACAAAGAAGCTGTGTAGTTGGTACCTAAAGTCAATGCCCTCTGTTTGCAGTGTTATACAAGTAATGCTTATATGCAAGCATGACACATGATAATGTTCAAAGGATTACTCTAACTCCCCACCCCCATTTGTCATAAAACCTGTAAAAAACAAAAATTTTTTCGCTCACCTGGAATCCAGCGCTGGTCAAAGCTCCCGGCACTGACTTATAAGCCTTTTTCAGAGGTCAACTAAGGGCCTTGCACCGTCCATTTGATTGTAACATTTCACCAGCATGTGCGCAGTCGCTGGTAAGGGAGATGGGATTTGTTTTTATTTTTTTTAAACTATCAGCTTTATAAGACAGGAGGGGAAGCTTGCCCGTTGCTAGAGTGTGGTGGGCGCTGACTGTGTGCACAAGCCTATCTTCTCAGCTGAGTTCTGAGCTGCACAGCTAGCTCTTAACACAGGGCTCCACAAATCCCAGGCACCTGGCGCCTGTGAGGCCTTTAGCTAAGGCGGGGGGAACATTGAAGCTGGCTGTCCTAGGGAGCATTTGTGTTCTGGCCTTTGGGCTGTGTGTATTACTTTTTGAATGACATATGTATAGCACTTTTTCAGGATTTCTTCTGATGCTGTTATTTCTAAAGGAAGATGTGGATATTGAAGACATTGGACAACACTGGAGTGATACATGAAAGTGTAGAGTGATTCATACAGGAAAAGGCAGAAATTTTACATAACTTTTTCTTCAGTATTTATTAATGAGGATCCTATGGCAAGAGATATGCAAATGATTTCTGCAAAAAACTTGCAGATAACTTGTGATTGGATGACTCGAAACCAGGTGCTACAGCAGTTAAAAGAATATTAATGTAAATAAAGCTCCGGGGCATGACGGTATTCACCCACGAGTACTTAAGGAGCTACGTGAGGAAATAAGTGAACCTCTGTATTTACTCTTTCAAGAGATTCTTTTGTTTCAGGTATTGTACCGGAGGATTGTAGGAAGGCAGATGTCGTTCCTATATTTAAAAAGGGTTCAAAATCCTTGCCTGGAAATTATAGACCTGTGAGCTTAACTTCTTTGACTGGGAAAATATTTGAAGGGCCATTAAGGGGTAATATTCAGTTAATCATTGGGAAGAACTTTGTTATTAGCAATAATCAGCATGGTTTTATGAAACATGTCAAACCAACAGTTACATTCTACAAAGAAGCAGTAGCATAGATTAGGGTGTTGCAGTGGATGTGATCTACTTGGATTTTGCCAAGGCATTTGATATGGTTCCTCACAATAGGCTAGTCTTCAAACCAAAAGAAATTGGTCTAGATGAGTATTCTTGTTCTTGGGTAGAACATTGACTTAAGGGTAGAGTACGAGTTGTCATTAATGGTAACCACACACGAGAAATATTTGGGAATTGTTAGACAACAAATTAAGCAGCAATATGCAATGTCAATCTGCAGTTGCTAAGGCTAGTAAGGTTTTGTCATGTATAAATAGGGGCATAAATTCTCTGGATGAAAATCTAATTTTGCCTCTTTATAAATCACTGGTAAGACCACATCTTGAATATGTGGTGCAATTTTGGGCACCTGTCCTAAAGAAAGATATCATGGCACTAGAAAAAGTGCAGAGATGAGCTACAAAATTGATAAACGGAATGGACATTTTAGTTACGAAGAAAGGTTAAAAGATTTAAAACTCTTTAGTGTGGAAAAATGGAGCCTGAGAGGGAATATGATGATATACAAATATATTCGGGACCAGTACAAACCATTATCTGGAAATCTATTCATAAACAGGGAATACAAGGTCACACATTTAGGCTGGAAGAAATGAGATTTAATCTAAGGCAAAGAAAAGTTTTTTTTTTTTTTTACAGTAAAAGCAATAAGGATATTGAATTATCTTCCTTGAAGATGTGGTTTTATCAGAGTCCATACAGATGTTTAAACTGCAATTGGATAAATACTTGCAAAAACAAAACATACAGTGATATCATTTCTAATTAGTGGGGTAATAGTTGCTTGATCCATGGAGACATCTGACTGCTATTTTGGGGTCAAGAAGGAATTTTTTCCTAGTTTGTTGCAAAATTGGAAACGCTTCAGACTGTTTTTTGCCTTCTATCTGAACAACAGCAAAAACATGTGAGGGAGGCTGAACTTGATGGACGCAAGTCTCTTTTCAGCGATGTAACTATGAATCATCCTTTTTCCTTTATACTTATGGGATAACCATATGGTACAGCTAAAGGCTGGCAGAGCAAGATGCCATTCTACTACAGCTAGGGATATACTATATGGTTAACAATTTAGGGTTATGAGGTCCCAGATACCCAAATTGGTGTGAAGACATGGAGGATATTTTTGCTCAGTACTGCCAGGTCAAGCTGGCCTCTCTTGGCATTATGGGGGAGGTAACAAAGAGGCACAATATTATATATGACCTAAATAAACGACTGAGTGCATACATGCATGACAGTCCTTTTTTGTGTCTCTATGAAGAGGTTACCCTCTTCGTGGAATAAAGTTGGTTTCTGAATATAACATTTCCATATAGTAAGATAGCCACGTCCTAAAGACGGTCCAAGTCAATCATGCTCTGATACAGTATCTCACAAAAGTAAGTACAACCCTCACATTTTTGTAAATATTTTATTATATCTTTTCATGTGACAACACTGAAGAAATTACACTCTGCTACAATGTAAAGTAGTAAGTGTACAGCCTGTAGAACAGTGTAAATTTGCTATCACCTCAAAATAATTCAACACACAGTCATTAACGTCTAAACCGCTGGCAACAAAAGTGAGTACACCCCTAATTGAAAATGTCCAAATTGTCAATATTTTCTGTGGCCACCATTATTTTCCAGCACTGCCTTAACCCTCATGGGCATGGAGTCCACCAGAGCTTTATAGGCTTCCACTCCTCCATGAAGACATCACAGAGCTGGTGGATATTAGAGACCTTGCGCTCCCCCACCTTCAGTTTGAGGATGCCCCACAGATGCTCAAAAGGGTTTAGGTCTGGAGACATGCTTGGCCATTCAAACACCTTTACCTTTAACTTCTTTAGCAAGGCAGTGGTCATCTTGGAGGTGTGTTTAGGGTCCTTATGTTGGAATACTGCCCTGCGGCCCAGTCTCTGAAGGGAGGAGATCATGCTCTGCTTCAGTATGTCACAGTACATGTTGGCATTCATTGTTCCCCTCAATGAACTGTAACTCCCCATTACTGGCAGCACTCATGCAGGCTTAGACTATGACCACGACCATGCTTGACTGTAGGCAAGACATACTTGTTTTTGTACTCCTCACGTGGTTGCCGCCACACATGCTTGACAACATCTGATCCAAATAAATTTATCTTGGTATCATCGGAGCTCAGGACATGGTTCTAGTAATCCATCTCAGTCTGCTTGTCTTCAGTAAACGGTTTGTGGGCTTTCTTTACATCATCTTTAGACGATGATTCCTTCTGGGACGACAGCCATGCAGACCAATTTGATGCAGGGTGCGGCGTATGATCTGAGCACTGACAGGCTGACCCCTGTACCCCTTCAACCTCTGCAGATATGCTGGCAGCACTCATACGTCTTTTTCCCATAGATAACCTCTGGATATGACGCAAAGCACATGCACTCAACTTCTTTGGTCGACCATGGCGAGGCCTGTTCAGCATGGACCTGTCCTTTGAAACCTCTGTATGGTCTTGCCCACCGTGCTTCAGCTCAGTTTCAGGGTCTTGGCAATCTTCTTATAGTCTAGGCCATCTTTATGTTGAGCAACAATTTTTTTTTCTCAGATCCTCAAAGTTCTTTGCCATGAGGTGTCATGTTGAACTTCCAGTGACCAGTATATGAGAGAGAACACCAAATTCAACACATCTGCTCCCCATTTACACCTGAGACCTTGTAACACTAATGAGTCACATGACAACAGGGAGGGAAAATAGCTAATTGGGCCCAATTTGGACATATCCACTTAGGGGTGTACTTACTTTTGTTGCCAACGCTTTAGACATTAATGGCTGTGTGTTGAATTATTTTGAGGGGACAGCAAATTTACACTGTTAAACAAGCTGTACACTTACTACTTTACATTGTGGCAGAGTGTCATTTCTTCAGTGTTGTCACATAAAAAGATAAAATTTTTACAAAAGCGTGAGAGGTGTACCATCTTTTGTGAGATACTATATATCGCGTAAGCATCAAAGAATATGCAGATTTGGCACATGTATGAAAATTACCTTTATTTGTTCATATTACCGGATAGGAGAGTTTTGACCCATTGTAGTATTTTAGGCAGGCTTGGCCTTCCTTGCATTCCTTTGATAAGAGTGGAGTCTTTGGCTGGCTTGATGTTAAATATTTCACATTGTTTGTGTATTCCACACCATTCAGCCCACCAAGGTATTTTGTGCAGCCCGCACACTAAGGAGGCCCACTAGGTGGCTTCTGTCTTTAGAGCCACCTGTAGGCCTTTAACAGTACGACCAGACCCCTTCCTTATTGGCATCGCGGGAGGAAGCGAGTTCCTCAGAGAATGGAGCCGTGCGGGAGGGAAGAGGTGGCTGTGAGGAGGGGGCCAGGCTAGAAGGGCCAGCCTTTAAACATCCTCAGACTGCAGACTGGACCTCAAGGACGCCAATCTCCAGCACTCAAACGTAGGAAACTAGAGGGTGGCCATAAAAGTATATTTCGACCTGCATGTCAGTGTGTCTGTCTATATGTGTGTCTGTTAGTGTGTGTGTGTGTCCTACTTTAGTTTTTACCCCTTCCTACTGCCAAGTTGTGCAGGTCTGGTGTACGGCTTAGTAACAAATCATGACTGTTGGACTGTTACTGATAACACACTTATTGACCAAGCCTCATTTTTCTCTTGAACTTGTTGAATGACTCAATTGTCAAGCAAAATACACCGTATTCCAGAGTTCTCGACCACTGAGCCATAAACATTCCTGTTAAATGGTTTGTCTTTTATAGCAAGTGGCATGTCTCCATCTTTATTATATTTCAGGGAGCTTTAGTGGGCTGCAGCAGCTGCTTAAGTGCTAGACAAATCTCCCCCCCCCACCCCCCCGACTCTCTCATCCCATTTCTCAGGTGATAGAATGTTACCGGTTGAACAACTGCTCAGGCGATATGCCCACACCCAAACATTTCAGGTATTTAAAGAAACACTGAAGTGTTAGGAATACATATCTATATTCCTAACACTACAGTCCTGATGGTCTGTCATTTATGCCCCCCACGTGTCCAAAAAAAAAAAAAAGTTTCCCTTTCTGCTGCCGCAACCTCATTGAGTCACCTCACCCTGGAGCACTGGGGAACATAGGTACATCCACGATATTCACCCAAAAGCACCTATGGATTCCTCCGTAGAGAATCATTGTATTCACAGTATTTAAAGCATGAGAGCTAGGAAGTAACATTTCTGGCTCTCATACCCTGAGAGCCTAGACGCATGTCTTGAGGCCTCTCTTCAAAGCTTTCTATTTAGGTTTTTTTTTAAAAGGGTTTGGGGTGTAAAACAGGTCGACCAGCACTGAATGCACTATAACTACTTCAATAAGATGAAGTTGTTAAAATGTACAGTATTCCTGTAAGGAAGGATAAAATGGTTACGTAGAGGTGCAATAATTCCACATATTTATAACATATTACTGTGGCTGTTACCTAGTAGTACAAGTGTTGACAAGCCACCATATAGCTCACACCCACTGCGCCCACCCCCCCTTTTAAATTTTTTTTTATTTTATTTATTTATTTGCCCTCTGGCAGTGCTAGTAGCCATTAGGAAAACTGCTAAAACAAAGCAAAAAAAAATGTAAAAATCCTATGGTAGTGTAGAAGTTTTTTTTTTTTTTTTTTTAATTCATGTCTGAATTTTAACAAAAGCCAGTCCCTGCTGGTCAGCTGTTTTGGTTGCATCTGGACAGGATGAACTTTAGACTACACTTAACCTAATTTTGCATTGTAAAATCCAGACATTGATACATTTTGCGAACTATGTCCAGATTTTTTCCCCAGAGAAATCAGGGAGAGCTGTTGAATTTATTGACCAACCCAGTGAATCAAGGTGAAAGACTGTTGAGAAATAACAGCATGGACGTTTTTGAGAAGGAAGGTTTACCACGGTATTTTGAGTTATGGAATTTTGTGTATATTAAATATTTTACACTTGCATGATAACGTCTATTTATTGGTTTTCCCCATATACACTGCCACAACATTAAAACCACCTTCCTAATATCATGTAGGTCCCACAAAAGCTGCCAAAACAGCTCTGATTGAGGCATGGACTCCACAAGACCTGTGAATGTGTCCTGTGGTATCTGGCACCAAGACATTAACAGCAGATCTTTTAAGTCCTGCAAGTGGCTAGGTGGGACCTCCTTGGATCGGATTTGTTGTTCCAGCACATCCCAAAGATACTCAATCTGATTGAGATCTGGGGAACAAGGCCACATCTTGAACTCTTGGTCATGTTCCTCAAACCATTCCTAAGCAATCTTTGCAGTGTGGCAAGGTGCAGTATCCTGCTGAAAGAGGCCACTGCCACCAGGGGTGTACATGGTCTGCAACAATCTCTAGGTAGGTGGTACGTGTCAGAGTAACATCCACATGAAAGGTTTCCCAGAGCATAACACTGCCTGAATCTTCCCATAGTGTAATCTCTTCCCCAGGTAAATGATGCATACGCACCCGGCCTTCCACCTCGTGTAAGAGAAAACATGATTCGTCGGACTTGGCAACCTTCTTCCATTGCTACACTTGCCGTTTTAGATGTGCTCTGTCCCAGTTATCACTATTTGGCCTTAATCAAGTCATTCAGATCTTTTAGTTTGCCAATTTTTCCTGCTTCAAACACATGAAATTCAGGAAACGACTTCACTTACTGCCTAATATTTTCCACCCATTGATAGTTGCCATTGTAATTATATAATGAATGTTATTCACTTCACCGGTCAGAGGTTTTAATGTTGTGGCTCATTTGTGTTGCATAGCATATATTTATCCCATGGACCCTCACTCACTTTCCTCTGCTCCAGCACTAGTTTTTCCCCTGCAGACATCAGTATCTATAGAGAGACTGTAATGCTTTTTCCCCTTCCCTTTCACATGCTACAGCAACATTTGTAGGTAATATTTAGTATCTGCATTTTAGCAACTACAGAGAAGCGGGAAGACTGGAGGAGGGGCAGCCTGAGAAAATTGTATTATTTGTACACTACAAAACTACATTAGCACTTTAAAGTAAACTGCAAGCAAAATTTCTTTTTTTTTGTCACAACATATTCATTAAACTATCGGTGATTGGTTGCTATGCTGTAACCCAATACACTTAATTTAGTACACATTTAAAAAAGTAAGACAAAAGTGTATATATAACATACTTTCTCATAAGGATAACTAAAATATTGTGTGAATATAAATGGCGCTTTAATTTGGTCAATACCATGTATTGCCATAATGTGAAGAGCCCTGAGTAACTATGTACACTCAATTTCTGTCTCAACCACATTATTTTCAACAAATATAATCTCATGGATGGTTTTGCTTTGAACTTTATTTGGCAAAGCATAACTGCATAAACTGTTCATTAACAAGAACAATGCTTATGCAGCAGGTGTTGGAGTCTTATACACAGCAGCGAACTATAAACTTCGTTAACATGTATGTGCTTGACATAGCAGATCTTCAAATATTACCAAGATATAGGAGAATGAGAAAATAATTTTTTTTTTTTTTTAAATGTTCAATCTGAACAGCGTCATTTATTTAAACTAAAGCTTTCAATCTGATCCAGTGAACACTACAGGGCAATCAGAGGCCTCGGCAGAATAAGAAAAGACAAACACATTCCTGGTAGTATGGTGAAGCTAAATCCACATGCTACTCTATGAAACCACGCCAAAATAAAAAGCCTGGAAACGGAAGCTCATTTCTATATTTAGCAGCATTTAGCAGACACTCGACATTGTGCGTGTACAGTGTCATTTGGTGACCATTTATCATTTTACCAGCGATGATGAATGTTGCAGTTGAAGTTTATCCCGAGATGAAAACAAAACAAGTGCAAAGTCATTTAAATAGTTCACGAAGTGGGCTGTTTGTATTAAATACTCCTGCGTTGACAGATGCAGAAAAAAACAAAAAAAACAAGGACAAAAAACAAAACAAAAACAAAGCTTAGGTTTAAATTTCCCCACTGAGATTTGCAATCTCTTTTAGAAAGAAAGAAAGAAAAAAAAAAAAAAAACTGAACCAAAACAACAAAATTGGCATATGATCTTCCCATACCATTTTTAACTTGGTAAAGTCCAAAACAAATTTTGAAGGTAAAATAAAATAAGTGCAGGAGGACACGTAATACTATATAATGATTGGAGTGATGGCGCCATTACAATTCATCCCTATAAGAAAATAAAAAGAAAAGTGATGTTAATTCACCCCCCTTTGTCATATATTAAACAATGTCTGAACACATGTATAAGCAAGGAAAAAGCAAAGCCAGAAGCAATTGAAAACTGTGCTTTTTAGATTTGAAATTAACTTTAACAATGACTGCCTGATTGGAAATATATCCAGAAGTAAAAACAAGTTGGCATAAGGTGTGTCAAATAAAAAATCAATAAAATAAAAAAATACAGTAATAACAGTAGAGAGGAAGAGAAAAGCATGAAAGTTAGAAAATCATGATCTGTTAAACTAAACATTAACATATACTCTTATTTCACAGACCTCTAAATGTGAAAGGATATACTGCAATAGAGTGTCTGTGTAGACATGCTTACATTGCCTGCATTTGAGACATGGTAGATTAAAAATGTTTAGCTTCCTGCACATTAAAGGGAAACTCTAAGCACCATCACCACAACATCTTAATATAGTAGGTATATTGCAAAGACCATGTCCCTGCAGCCTTATTTTCTAAAAAAAAATTGGAAATCAGAATTGTTTTCCCCGTGTCTACAGCCATCTCCATAGACTTACCAGCTGGAATATTATGTCCATTTTTTGTATAATTTTAGAATCTGTTGTCCGTACACATAGCATGCTAATGCCAGATACCTTTGATAGAACATAATAAGTTCTCTTTCTAGGTGCACGGGTCAGAAAAAACAAAAACAAAAAACCCTAAGCCCAAAAACAAACATAAAAAATCCCAAAGTGTTTTGTATTTTCTGTCCCATTAACCTAAATGCAAGAGGGTGCCTGATTTTGCTGGGATACAACTCTTTATAGCCCTAATTGGATTTTTTAATATGAATCCCTAAATCTAAATAAAACTACCAATTCCCACGAGAAGCTTTGAGCAGATTTGCTTAACATCTTTGCGTCTAACAGCAGTTAGAGAAAAACTTGTCTGCTTGTGCGCAAAGAGCAAGGCTTTTCTTTCTGTTTGTTTTATTATTATTTTTTTTAAATTGCCAGACCTCTTAATAAAGAAAGACTGCATTTACAAGAAATACGATTGGTGTGGTGTTCATATCATTAAGACTGAGTGGTTGTATGGTCCCAGGTCAAAAAAATAAATGTGTATATATAAATATATATATATATATATATATATATTTTTTTTTTGGACCTGGGACCACATAAGTACTTTTGTTTTGTTTACTTTATTCAACTTTTTAACATACCAGGTACGTCCGCGGTCATTAACGACTTTTGTCGGATGTAGGTCGGGAAGGGGTTAATAAGCATTTGATAGGACAATGCCTAGCACTAACAAGGATGTAAGTGTAGGGCATCATTGTTTTTTTGTTGTTGCAACGATTAAATTAATTAACCCCTTAACGCCGTTCTATGCCGTCGCGGCTTTAAAGCCGTTGCGGCGGCATAGAACGCCGTAACAGCTTTGAGCCCCAGGGGAATCACAGCTACTCACCTCCGCCGCGATCCTCTTCCCGAGTGCTGCCTGACGAGTACTGTTGTACTCGTGAGACATCGCTGATTACAAATATGGGCATTTTTTTGCAGTAATACTTAACAGTATTATGACATTTACAGCTAAAATGAGAGGCGGAACTACATATTTTTTTAAACTTTTTTTTACATTTTTCAGTTTTTTTAAATTTTATTCATAATAAATTATGTTTTATATATAAATATTTGATATGAAATGAAAGCCCTGTTTCTCCTGAACAAAATGATATATAATAAGTGTGGGTGCATTTAATATGAAAGAGGTGAATTACGGTTAAACAGACATAGCGCAAATTCCAGTTTTTGTTTACGTTTTGTTTTGATCAGAACGTGTACTATTGACTCCGTCCTGAAGGGGTTAAATAATATATGCATTTCTAGACACAGACTTTCTAGGAAAAAAATTAAATAAAGTCCCTCTCAAGTCACTGTTCCTTAACTGTAGATTTTCAGCTTCTATCAATGTAGATTTTTAGTCATTACTACATTAGAGGACCTGGCATTTTTCTGATGTGATTACTGAGGGAAAAACGCTGCAGGAGGAATTAAAAAACCCCCCACTTAACTCTGCAACGCATCTGGTTGCTAGGGTGGCTATTCTCCTAAATTGTGAAATGTTAGTGGATGCACACTGTGGTATGTTCTTTCCTAATGCATTACAAGCCTAAGAGAAGTAATTGTATCAATACATCAATGTAACAATGCAATGTTTTGTGGACCCAGGACATACTTGAAAACTAGATAATCTCAACGTATCCTTCATGGTTAAATATTTTATATAAAAAAATAAATGCATGTGCCAGAATCATGGCAATTATTTACATTGTATGCCAGAAAAAAAAGAGTTGCATATAATAAAAATTAAAACCCCAGAAACAAACTCCCTCTCAAGATACATTCATAGGCGAAAACAAACCATCAGTAGGCTAACACAATCCATTTATAGGCTAACCCACAGAAGGGCAAACTGCACACATCATAACCAGAGAAGGACAAATTGGTGGCCTCTTAGATATAAAGATCTGGCGCAAAGAGGGAAAGACACTAGATATAAAGTGACAAGGGAAGAATATAATTAAGCGGTTTAAGGAAGGAAAACTGAAAGAAAAAAATATACAAGATAGTGCAGCTTTAACCCTTTCATGTAATGACACTAAAATCAGGGCTCGCCTGGCACTCAAAGTCCTTCATCTCAGTTGCTATTAAGATAATTCAGAGGTTTTTATATTAAAAATATATACTTTTTTATGGCAGTGACCGGCAAAGAACACTGGGCAAAATTAATCCAGCAGTTATTTGTCAAATCACTCAAAAGCAATAAGCTGTAATAGTTATGATGCTTAGAGTGTCCTGTCCCTTCAAAGTACATGTCTATTTTAAATACATCACAAAGTCAGAATGTTATAAATAAGGGTAGCTACTAGTATACATTTGGCAAATGAAGACAATTTGAACTCTAGCTGCATCCATTAAATTGGGTAATAGTAACAACCCCTGGATGTTGGGCAAAAGTAACATACCCAGGACGTACTTGGAAACCAGAGTAATCTGAATATTCCTGGTTAAATATATTATCCAGATTTAACAAGTTTAGGGATACAATTTATTGGAATGCACCTTTTGCATGCAAAAATTCAATATGCTCTTTATTCAGGTCTGCATCACATCTAAAATGCAGAGATGTTGCCACATTAAAAGGCAGGGCAGAATATGCTATTTCCTGTCCTAAGCTCATTTGAGCAGGGCCCTCTTCAACCTGTCGTTTCTGTAAGTTTTCTTGTAATTTTCCTATTTATAGTTAAATCCCCCTCTAATAATATTGTAAAGCACTACGGAATCTGTTGGCGCTATATAAATGGCAATAATAAT